AATTACATTTGTGCAGCGTATGAACACGTTAATTTAAACAGTTAATTTAAACAATATAAATGCTAACCAGTGTCATGCACGCCGAAGCGCCACTAGCTTAGGGATTTAAGCTTTTTGGATTGCTGATTACCAGAAAGCAAATTTGCCATCGTTATGACTGATGAATACTCCTTTTCTGTCTTGCACAAGTTTTACCCGATTTCATTATCCAGTGCAGACCGGACGACTTTTCTCTGACCCTCAAAATATTAGGTTGAGCGCGTTTTTCATAAACTATATAGCAGACCAACGCACGTTTGTGGCCCGTATAGCCCGCGTATTAAATATGAGCTAATATAGTATTTCATTTTTTGCAGTAACACATTCACTAGAAAATGTCACTCGTGAATTTCCGCACAAGGTAACTTTACTCTGAGGCCGTGTAAAAACAGCGGAAAAATTAGTGCGCCATTCCAAATATTGGTTTTGATTAGCTCAACAATTTATGAAAACTGGAAAACCCGATAATGCATGCAATATTCTACCATGAAAATCTCGATCCTGATGAACAATTTAACTTACCTGTTTTATGTGGTTTTAGCGGGCTTCTGCAACTTACCAAAAGACGGACATCTGTTGGCTGACATTTTTACTGACCCTCATGTCATCCTGCAGTCATTCGGTGGTAACTATTGTCTAAACTAGGTAGAGGTTTCGAACCGGGGACTCATCAACCTGGTCTGCCGTAATCTTTTAAAAAGTGAAAACCGTTCACATTTGAAGGCCAGATCTGAAGGCGGCAACATTGGCAAAACACGGTTAAAATTTTGGTAGTTCTGCGAAAATTCCCATACTACGATTGAAAAGGCAGTTGGCACAAAAGTTTTCAGTAATTCGTCGCCAGGACTACTGAACTTGTGAGTTAGACAGGATTTAAATGTGTCTCAGAGCACAGGTTTAGTCAGATTCTTTGTTCCCACGCCGCCTGCATGACTTGATCAGCGTGCCGAGGACGGTGGAGCTGGGGTGAGGGGGAAGGGGAGGGGTTCGGGTTAGGTTGCGATCGCCGTATGTGCGTCAAACACGCAGAGTGCGTGTGAATTTTCTCAGCGCGTCAGGGCGACCTGTGATCACCACTTGGAGTCGGCCAAAGGAGACAGACTGGCTGTATCAGCGTCTTCTGACGGCAGAGCGCTGGAACGGACACTGCCCCGGCTGTTGCTAGCACCTGTTTGCGTAGGCCTTTCAAGTAGTGTGCTGGCACTCAGTAGATAACTTTAAAGGCTTCCTGGGCGTCGCCTTGGTGGTTCGTGTCTACTAGATGTTGGAGAATTGAACATGAAATCGGTCAATTTTACCCTTTACCTAGCCAGGCAGGCATGTGTTCGCGTACCTTCTTTTCCAGACGCCTCTTTGTACGATCGATGTAGCCCGCTCCACAGGAACAGGTGAATGAATAAATACACATCGATGTGGCCCGCAACGACAGTCGGTCTTTGGTCCCCAACCGTAGTAGGGGAGAGTCTGCGAAGAATACGCGCAAGTTCGTCGCGAGGAAGGCACTTGTGACAGCCGTCCCTAGAAGTCGTCTTACTAATTCGCTTGCTGCGTCTCCTAGAAAAGGCAGTCTTAGAAATAAGTCTTTATTTCCTGTAGTTACCACGAATGGCCTTGCGGCACGTTCTGTAATATTCCGAAGGAGCGCGGAGCGCGTTCTGCAGCTGCTGGAGTTCTGTTTCAACATTTTCAGGAGAGCAGATGCGTCGCACACTAACCGCCAATCCGTGAACGAAATTTCGTTTTAGATATAGGGGAACAAATCTGAGAATTAGTGTATTGTCCCCTTCAGGTTTTCTTTCTGAATACCTTGCGTTAGATAGACCCACCCTCTTGTCTGTTTAGAAAGACACTGAGGAACTAGATTTCGCTGTTCGCCTCAGTGTCTGCAGCAAACTCCAGAGAGGGGTGCATCTTGTTAAACTTCTGAATAAGCCATCGATGTCGTGGTCTGACTTGTCACATATCGACCCTAGAAGCCAAGATCATAAATGGCATCCTTGAGGCTCTTTTTCCCGACCTTGCCCATGAAGACACTTGCGAGAAACGGTCTAAGCAGTGAACCCATCGCAACACCGTGCGTTTGCCTGTATAGCTGGCCGTTGCAAAGGAACTGGACTTTTTATGTGCATCGCGTAAGTACTTATTTTAGGGTCTCCACCGTCATGCCTATTGGGTAGTTTGTTTCCCGAATGAAGTCGCATAGGTAGTTTATTGTCTCTACTACGGGTACGTTGGTGAACTGTGAAGATACATTTAACGACAATACCGTCTGCGAGCCAACGTTAATATTCTTAATAGCCTTGACAAACTCAAAGGTGTCTTTCAAACTTCGCGAATACAAACAACTTTGAAGAAACTGCAACTTTTATGCCAGTCCCTTTACTATGACGTGATAGGGGAAATTTCTCATATTCAAAACTGGATGTAGTGGTAGCCCTTGTTTGTGAATTTTGGGAGGACCATACATTCTGGGTATCTTCGTACACACAGGTCTTAGTACTTCAAAATCCATGTCAGACAGAAAGCTTTCTTTGTGGAGACCTTTGAGCACTTTCGTCAACTGACCCTCGACGGTCTCGGTCCGATTCCTGTCTCTCTCCGATTTCAAAAACTTTGTACGGTCTGACAAGATTTATTCTAGTTTCCCCACGTAATCCTTCTTACCCATCAGTACTATTTCTGAACCCTTGTCCGGTCTGGTTAGCACGATATTTCCCTTTTTCCGAAGCTCCTTGAGAATATCGAGGTGGGCCCTTGTCAGGGGGCCGTTGTTGCTTGAAGCCTTCCTTAAGTACTGCTGGCAGCAGTTTACCGGAGTCGATTTAAGATAATCAACTTATCTAAGGTAGAGAGTTGTAGATCAGTGGTTTGGATAAAGAGACTCTCAAATTGCATTTCGAGCTCTAACTGCTTCTATATCCGCCGGGCAATGCAAAACTTGGGACCAAGAGATATTATTTCTACGAGAGTTTTGTTAAGAAGTCCTGAAGAATAGTTATCGACGTACCACTCCGGATTGTTCCGAAGGGTGGTCTGCGCTTTCACTGGTTGGACACTTCGTAGGAGCTTCGTCCACCTGGCCTCTATTCTCTTAGTTCGGACCTTCTGTGCGAAGTTTCCGAAAATCAGTCTCTCGAGACTTCCAAGAACAGCGGCTAAATGGTTTTCATTCGCCTAGCACCTATTCTACCGTTCAACATTCAGAATCATCTAGAAAAGTCTACTTTAGAACATTTAGGAACAATAATGCACTTATTGTTTGGAAGTGCCGCAGATATATTCCACTTTTACTGTGACTACAATCCTTAAAGAGACAATTTGCATTGGTTGAGGACACACATAGACTGCGTACCTCGTGGATTTTGGAACCATTCAAAGTTGATTGAAAGGCAAACTCAGCATAGTAATTAAACTGTTTATTCGGCATTTTATAGCAGACTGAAATGGAGGGAAATCCACTAGTTGCAACCGTAAACATCGCGAGTTTTCGTAAGAGCCTTGAATTAAATTTATGCAAATCACTTTTTAAAATGTAGTTCCTTTTCTCAACCATACTCCAACTTTCTGGGTCCACTTAGATGCTTATTATTTAAGCAGAAGGTAGTGACCTATACTCACCAATCAAAAACATGCACATGGGTCATGTCTATACAAGCTACTGGTAATTTTACCGCCTGTCGCAAGTACAATTTCAAGGCCGATGTTAGTTGAGTTACCAGGGGCCTCGGTCTTCGGCCACCTTCAAAAATATGCGCTAAAGAGATGAACTTTGAGTCATAAAGTTTTCGGGATAAATTTTACGCCATCAAAGTAACAAACCTTTTAGTACCTTTAGTACTTGCCTTGCACTGTAGAGGGAGGAAAAAGTGCTCTGGCGCGTCCGTTTCCTCTCAAGTCATAGTAGAAAGCATCTGACTTACAGAGCAGCAGACAGTTGTGCTCTCCGCCAGTAAAGTGACTTGACTTTTAATTACAGTAGGTGGCCTGAATCACGAAATGTCAACCGAAATTCCGAAATGCGTTTTTGTTTCGAAAAGATTAATTAAGTAGGATTGTAAAACTTAGTTGCCTCAGGATGCCGGCTTTTGAACGAACTTCTTTCCGGCTGCATGCAAAATCGATACTCTGTAAAAAATGACTACTTGCACTCGGGGTTTTAAAACTACAAGCCATATATTTTCCGCGTACGAAAAACGATACATTTCTCTGTGGTATTAAGAGAAGGCTATCTGGGGTTCATAAAATTTAGAAGTGGATTTGAGCCATATTGTTAACTTTACAAGACACATTGGTAAATGCAGAGACATGATTCTTTATGGACAGCCATTTCACCGTATTAAAAAGTCGCATAATTAGAAACTTTTTAAAACCGAATTATACCCTTCCTCCGGGTACCAACTGGGAAGAAGACGTAATTTACTACCGAATGAGCAAAGAATGAATATTGTTTTGCTTGTTTTCCATGAAATATAATTGAATTTTTATGGGCATCGAAAATCCAAAAGAAAAATGAATGCTACTTAAGTAGTCATTTTCTACGGAGTATAGTTTTGCATGCAGCCGGAAAGAAATTCGTTCAAAAGCCGGCATCCTGAGGTAACTAAATCATTATAGAATCATGCTGCATAACGAGTAGTTTTAAAACCCTGTTTAATTAATCTTTTCGAAACGAAAACGCATTTCGGAATTTCGGTTGCTATTCCTGAGTTAGCCAACCTACTGTATATACCCTGAATTCGGACGAAGTAATGGGCGGGTTCGGTCGGTCACAGAACATCTAAAGTCTCTTTATTTAGACTCAGTAGGAAGGTTATCCAGACACAACAATCTGTCGCAGTCTTCGCCGAAGTCCTGTTGACCTGTTATCATTAGAGCCACACGTTGTAAACCCACCGACTGTGGATCATTGTGCCCATTCGGTACACTCTCCTCGCTAGGTGTGTTCCTGTCAGGACCCGAAAATGGACTCCAGCGGTGTCAGAGACTGCCTGCGTATGGGGACGGACCGTCGGTCTGCTAACCTCGCTCGAGCTGACTTCACGCGACAGACCAATGGTGGCCGGGAGGCGGAAGAAGAGAGAGGGCAAGTCGGCTTGTCTAGTACCTCTCAAGCCGCCGATCCTGAATTGCCAAAGGAGGTTCTAGACCCTGCAAAAGCAGACGATTCGGTCCTGGTGAGTCAGACTAGAGAAGGCCATCGGGAACGCAGTCAGGACAGACGCAGTTCAACTAGAAATAGACAGTAAGTGCCATTGGTACATTCTAATTTACAACTTTGCTGGACTGCCACCTAAGTCTGCTAGACAGAAAACTTATCCATGAAACGTCGAAAGGTACTCCGTAGAGAAAGCCTAACCGGGTTTCCGAAGGATAATTTGTGAAAATAGGTGGTGGTTGTGGTAGAAATCTCCATGTTTTATCTGGCATCTTGATCCTCTAAATCCGTTGTTGGAGGGATGGATCTGCCCTTGCAGGTAAATGACTAATGAAATCTTATCTACATTTTGCGAGTCACGCATTGTGAATTTCCTTCCACGAGGGTACTGTGGCAGAATTTAACAATAAATATACTCTCATCTGCTTCCTTAGCAATTCCGCTTGGAGATGGGGATACGAAGCAGGAACCAAGAGTGTCCTGCTGAATAAATGAAGAAGTGAAGGTGATTCATGCTGAGAGAACTCTGCAAATACATGTTTTTGGGCAATTCTACCGTGTTCCGGATAAGAACAGCAACATCTTTTTTAACCTCCGTAGTCCCTCTTTTCAGAGTAAATAGAGTTTTTGCTACAAACAATCTGTAAGACTCACGTGAAACGGGATCACAAGTCCAACAATGGGACTGCCTAAAAATCGTTTTCGTTGTTCGGTATGAAGACCTCGTGGGCCTTTTTCGCCGAAGTTCCGAAGATTTCGTCTTACACTTGAGCCTCCAGGTCGACACTAATCGAATGACGTGAACTTTTTATACCGGAACGCTTTTTAACGTTGAACCCCTATCCTGGACTGGCTAGCTGCTCTAACACTAATATTCCTGTCCTAGGAAACGTTGTCTTAGAAATAATTCTGGGACAATCGCTTTGGAATCCCTTTAGGGTCCAGTAACCGAGGGTGGAGACACTGTTCACAGAAAACGTCAATTTTAGAAAATTCACAAGGCTGTTTTTCAACAGTGTGCGCACTCTTCGAAGGCAAATATGTCTAAGTGTGCTCTGATATATCGAACAAAACCGTTGTTTGTCCACTTCAATGCCCTGATAGCGTACTTAAGGAAGATTGAAAGAGAGGAGGTTCGTAGATCGATTAAATCAGGGTTGTACTAATAGGATCACTCATCTCTCCGAATTCTCTCGCGAGCCATGTTTACCATGTAGATGCGCGTCAAGCCCTATTCACTTCCAAACGCTGGTCGGGGTAGGAGTAATTGTAAGTAGTTCTGAAGCCACTGCTGCCCCAGTCTTTCTCGTCGTTTTCTGTCTACTTTTCGAACGTTCAGAAGTCTACAAAGAATCGGGCAGTGTATTGGAAACTCGTTAGCATCTTAATCCTGCTATGAGCATTTAAGCGTTTTTCATATAGAGCAGAAAAGGCTAGAATGAGCAAAATCCCCTGGTGTCTGAACTACAAACTCGTTTTCTTTAAGAGCAGCCGCACGGTCAAAACTAGCCTTTTGTATGTTCAACTGGAACAACCGTAAAGAACTTTTCTGCTTTCTCCGGGGTTTCAGCGGACATCTTTTGTTCAGTCGCTACGAAAAGCTGTCAAAAATTGGTGAGGGTGCCTATGGTGTGGTGTTCCGCTGTCTGGATCAGAAGACAGGCCAAATGGTTGCAGTAAAACGCTTCACCGCGACCGATGACGACCCCCTCGTCAAGAAGATCGCTTTTCGTGAGATCAAAATGCTGAAGGTACGTTCGTGGCGAGTCTTCATTTGACCAGAGTTGGTGTCCAAATGCGCTTTTGAGAGTAGCGAAAACCCAACCTTTGCAAATTCATTGACACTTGTTATTTTTAAAATAAAATTTTGCGCTTTTGAATAGGCATGCCACAGCAACATTGCGGTTTATCACTCAACCCTTAAATGACGGTTAAGGTATTAAAACTGGGTTTCATAGGTGCAGCCCAGCCATTTCAAGTAAGGATAATACCGGTCTGCCAAGTCCATCTTCAGTGACAAACGGGGAGTAAAATTCTACGAAATCCAGGCCACTCGATAAATAGGAAAGATACATACCACTTCACTGCGTGTCGAAAAAACAACCATTGGACTGCGCTCTGAGTGGTCATACCCAAAAGTTTGGAGCAAATATCCCATCCGTTTCTGAGGTAGTTTCAGTCAGTTTTGTGGGACTTCGCTCCCAAAGCACGCCTTAACCGGGCAGATAGCCATTATTGACCGTCGCGAACTTCTTCTTGATTACTTCCGGCCCTCAAGTCAGTTGAAGGTCAATGCCGTGGCGACCGCATTCTCTCCTGTCTCGGCGTCCAATCAATAGTCGCCTTTTCATTGGCTCTTCCCTTCCGCATACCCTCTATCATTTGATTCGCCCTTGCACCAACAGGAGTGAACGGAGCATGAAGGATGAGATTCTCCTGAGCAGCAGCCTTTCCTTGAGGTATCCAAGAGATAAAACGGAAGAGGAGAGAGGGTGGATTATACAGGACTGCATGATCGCAGTCTAATACCGCAAAACCAGTGTCACGAAACACCTTATGACGTATTCGCTGAACCAGGAAGACCGTTCTAACCTAGCACGGTCTGGGGGTGGCCTACAGTCTTTTAACAATGCATGTGGAATGACGAAAGGCCTCTTTTCAGAAGAGCAGCGATCGATGACAGTGTTCGAGGTATCCAGGAAGTTGCACGTTGCGTCATTAACTACGTTTGCGCATCATTTGTCTCCCAAAGTCTCAAGACCCGTTGCGTGAGAAGGGCCTTACTGACACCGCACATGCGCCTGGAGAGATAGCTTACCAAGGCTATTTCGCACTGCCAAATTAATCATCAGGAAAATGAGGGGAAGTCTTGTGGCCAGTGATGCCCTTGGCCGGCAGTTTGACAAAACCGGTTGTCTGCTGCGTCAAGACGGGGATAACCCAAAAGTTTGCAGAAACTGTGGCTGGCATTGCTTACTGCATCGCAATATTTCTGCTTCTACAAGTTGTTACTATTAGAATTGAAGTAGGCTCGTGCTACATGACCATCAAGACTTCCAAAAAATTACAGGATAATTCTAATCTTTTGATTTTTTAAGAGGTTGAAACATCCAAATCTTGTGAATCTCCTGGAAGTTTTCAGAAGGAAGAAGAAATTGCACCTTGTGTTCCAATACATCGACTACAGTCTTTTACAAGAATTGGACAATCCAGCATCAAAGTACGTAACAACTACGAGACTGAACCTCGTATTTTATTTCAGTATTGAGGTCGGTAACGCCGGAAGAGAGAAGCGACATATTCACATCATAACGAGAATTAACTGCAAAACTCTAGTGTTCATGAAAATTAGGGCCTTAGTTTAGGCCGTCAGAATTTTCCTTACCTTGAACATGCCTTTCACGTGCATTGATATCTAAAATATATGTCTGTTTGCATCCAATATGCGTTTCGAGCAATGACATACTTACCTCTCTCAGAAGAAACTGGAACAATACCAAAGTTCCCCTATTAAGCGCTGTTTTTTGTCCACAAGCAGACGGAGTAGCTGCAATACGTCTGAACTTTGATTCAGATTTTTTACTCGGAACTCAAAGAGGCGTCTTTTTGGAAGTAAAACAACCCTTCTTCATCGATATTTTACGCTCCCGAGTTACCTCTATTGTCCTGACACTCGTTTTTCGACTTTTAGTACCATGGATCGAGACAAAGTTATGAACATCACGTGGCAAATATTGCAAGGGATAAATTTTTGCCACCAGTCAAACGTAAGACACCTAGAATCTTCTAACCCATTAATAATTTTATTGCAAAGTGTATTCATAGGGACATCAAGCCGGAGAACATACTTATTAATGCCCAAGGCGAAGTGAAGTTGTGTGATTTCGGATTCGCCCGGTTCCTTGGTGAGTTAAGTTTACCGTTTAGCCTGAAGTATAGATGATGTTGTCAAATAGGTAGTGATTTAACTAGGTCGATTACAAACCGTACTTTTACAGGTACAAACAAAAATTTTCGCGTTTCGGGTATAGACCAAAAGAAGAAGAAGAAGAAGAAGAAGGAGCAGGAGAGGGAGAAGGGGTCTCGGGAACAGCATGTTCATTATTTTAAAATTCCGAAAGTAAACAAGCTTCAGTCGTTGGGGCCTCCCGGCTGCAAAGTGGTGGTCAACTCTCACCCATTCACTGCCGCAGTGAGGTGGCGTCCGCCCCTCTCCTCCTTGCAAAAATCACCAGTCGTGAGGGACAACAGGGTTGAGGGGAGGGGGAGCGCGGTGTTTCCATACGTCCTCCACAGCTGAAACTTTTCTGCTCTGGAAGTGCCAGATTGACCAAGGAGTAGAAATGACAAGCACTCGGTTAGAGTTCGAGATAGTCACATTACAACGGTGTCAACGGCTGAGCTCTTTTTGTTTGTTATTATTTAAAAATTATCAACCCATTCACCTTTTTTAATTCTAAGCATTTGTTTCATTTTCGTTCCTTTACTCATTCTACTGCTCCTGGGAGCATTAACGAACGCATGCAATTGTCTGCTGCTCGCTTTCTATGAAAGGCAGCAATGGAGCATTTAAGGAAACTCGTTGACACCTCGCAATTCAGGAAATTAAACAGTTGAGAGAGTACAGCCCACTGAAACCCCTGATTGAATGTTAAGTTAAAATTTAGAGTCCAGTTAGTCTTGTGCTTTACCACTTCCGAAATAATTTTGTAACAGTAGCATGTCGGCGAGCAATGTATCTTGTCCTTTTAGTTCTTCCCAGTGTCCGCGATATTCCGCAATACACCAGCCAACAGAGCAAATTAAGCCGAAAACAAGAGTATTTAACCCATATAAGCATCGAGGTTGAGACTGAAAAATCGTATTTCGAAGACTCCGTCCGATGTCTGTCTAGCAGTTTCTCGTAAAATATGCACCATCACTAAACTAAGTGTCTGTAGCGGACAGCCATCATAACCGGTCTGTCGTTATCGCCCAAGACCTCGATGCCTCAAGGTCATCCACCCTTTGCAGTGAGCCGTTGCAGACGCGCTGACCTGAAGTCACACGACCGACAGCTCGGGCATGCCTGCGTCATACAGCTGAAGCTGCCTATGCGACCACTTGAACGCGCCACCCCCTTCGACCACCAAAACAAGCCACTGGGACACCACTCCTCGGCAAATGCAACACATACCGATTGAAGACCACTTGAGCTTGGCCCACGAGCCTATAAAAGCGGCTACCACCACTGTCCCAGTGACTCTCGGGCATAAGTGAGCGCAATCAACACCAGCCCTGGCTTCGCCAGTGGCCACTGCCGCCTGAGAGGACAGATTCGGGTTCTGTGCGCAATAAACCCCTCATTCTGGTGCCTTATGTCTCTCTCCCTACGACACTAGGATTTGCCCTGATTATTTCAGTGCTCAGCCTGCACACATTCACACCGTCTGGCCACATATCTAGCCACTAGTCTTGTGACACCTTGATTTTAATTATAAGAATGTGAAGCATGGACCTATCGTCATTCGGAACATATGCTCCAACTTATTGCTAATTTCTTTTGTGCTGCAACCGACCGATTTTAAACGTTAAACGCTAATTATCCATTTGATGTTTGCGCATTCTACTAACTTCCGACTTAACCGTTGGCTTTCTTTAGCGGATGCTGGTGACACTTACACAGATTATGTGGCCACAAGATGGTACCGAGCCCCAGAACTGCTAGTGGGGGATACGCATTACGGACCGCCTGTGGATGTTTGGGCAATCGGTTGCGTATTCGCTGAAATGCTGACAAAAATGCCTCTCTGGCCGGGTCGGTCAGATCTTGATCAACTCTACCTCATAACGCGAAATTTAGGTAAAGTAATATTTATGAATTTTCAATATAAAACCCGAGCGAGATGATTGTCTTTCACTTCATGCCATGCTCCACTAGTTCCAAACGAAAAAAGTCGAAAATGCAATTATAAGACATCGAAATGTTTCCATCCGGTCGGCCAGAAACAATCGGTCAGGATAAATACTTATGTTGAAGGTGAGAATGATATTCTAGTTTGAGACTCCCTAGAGGCTTTTACTGGTGGGAAGGGACCACGGATTTGTGCTGTAAAATGTTTCCTCCCGTAATATAAAGATATGTCAGTTCGCAGATATGGAATATACTTCGATCGTGGAGGAGAGGAATTGATCTCCTTCCTTGCAGAAACTAAAGGTTATCATTTGGTTTGCTATTTGCTTTGGGCAAAGTGGGGCGGTTTTAAACATTTGATGACTGCGACAAAAATCATCATCTAGTTATCTGCGCAACATTTATAACTACTCGGAGTTCGGGGAAATATCGCCCCACGAAAGGTGAATTCATAGTAATTTAGTTCCTGCAGTACTATTTAGTCTTTCTAGAAACATATGCGTCAGCTCCGATAACCACGGGCCATGTAAATGTGACTTAGCCTGAATTTATTTGAAATATATTTGTTTAAGTTAGGTAAAGCTCCAAATAATGGTGTGCGGATTATAACAGTGAAAGTATGTGTGCTTAATGTACAGGTCCTTTTTTGTAGGTGACTAAAAACCCACATTGTACATGTGAAATATAAAACAGTTCTATATATTTTTAAAATGCTTAAAAATTCTTAGTCAGTGAGATGCAATGACGAGCACTAAATTATTCAGCCCGACATCTAGAAGTTCATTGTGAGTCATATTTATATCAGTGCGAAACTGACAGCAAAAACAACCAACGCTGTTTTCGAACAACAAATACGGGGACCGAACAAGACGTAGGAACGGAAAAATTCACCCCGTATCTAGAAAAACTTTTCCTCTACGAATTTTCTCTCATAGCTATAGAACCCCTGATTTTGATAATTCGCAGCAACTCGTTAGCATTAGTACAGTCGAGTAACGCAACCTCTTAAAGGCAAACTGCTCAGTTTTTAATACGTGTTGAATTGTGTTCCAGGAAACCTGCTGCCACAACAACAGAAGACATTTTTGACTAATAGCTACTTCTCCGGCGTCGTTCTTCCCCGCCCCCGTGTTCTGGTATGTTTATCCTGATACTACAAATTAAGCACTACTGTAATCCGTATAGTAGCCAATGTGTTTGACGTAATAGTGAGTATATCATTGAAATACCACATTCCAGGCTTTTCATATGTTCTTGACCAATTGCAATGAGATAATCCATATCACTGTCCAAATATCAACGCGCCTGGTTCGGAGGCTGTTCACTGAAAACAGATTTTGGAGGGGTTTTTATCAAACGTGTTGAATTACGCGCAGGAATTCACCAAATAACGCTCGTAGTACCTTTGATGCGGCTGAATTCTGAACCAATAAATTGAGCGTCACACCGAACTCACAAACACGACTTGCTTCGTCCACTTAGTTATCATGCTTGAGTCGCCTCCTGTTTACATCCTTTGAACTATGCGATAAGGGAAGTCCTCAGCTCCGGCTAACGCTTTTCCGAAAAGAAGGCACAAGTGCGGTATGTCGATCAGAGTTAAATCGTCCTTACTTGTATCTGCTATAAAACCAACATGACGTGTGGAAGGATACACGATCGCTTGGACAAGAGCTTTATTCGCCTGACTTTTCGGCTTCCTGCTCGAGCCCATCATCAGAGACAAAAGCAAATACGGGTGGTTCAGCGATCGTGTCTCCTTCTTCACGACTGCTTTCTGGGGCTTGTCTCTTCGCTTCTGTTGGCAGTAAAACCGACAGTTGCAACGATAAAGAAGCCTAGATTTATTATTGTTTTTCACAGGCGGTGAAACATACGTACGGTTTAGAGGTATAAAATGCTATGAGAAATAGCGGGAGGACAATCCGACCGTCTGTCTCACATATCTAGGACCGGAAGTGCAACAAAAAGCAGTATTCATAGATGATTTTGTCCAGTATTCGACCACCTTTCGTCGTCTGCGGGGTATTCTTAGATTTTGTGGGCAAATTAGGGCTCATTCGATCTATCACTAGCGCTTTACGTACAGGTCCGGGCCCCATTATCTGCCACCATGACTTGCTGGCCGCTTCTACAATTCTCGTCATACCCACAAAGTTGAACTCATAACTTGCCTCTGACTTCTGAAGGGGATATCAGGTACTTGATCATCTTTCTACAAAGTCCAATTCTGTTATGGTACTTCACCTCTTTGATCGGATGAATCCAAAGAGCCCCTAATACATTTAATATGGCAGACAAGCAGATCCTTAATAAGTTAGTAATTCCCGTATAACCTTCCTAATTTGGCTGAGAACAGTAAGCATAACCCTGGGCGAATTCCTTCTGATGGTACTGAAAAAAATTGACTCAGAAAAAATACCATAGCTGTGGTGGGTTTGTTTCAGCCCTCTGTGCAAACACTGACTTATGAGAACTCCTTGGTAGTCTTTTGTGTAAGAATCGACTGCGGAGTTACTCGGTTTGTGGGCCACTTCCGAACATCCTGCTTAATTTTTTGAATAAGACTTTGAGTCGAAGGATGTCCAGTATGGTATCTGAGAACTTCCTTCAGACTACCTGCATTTACGCACAACCTAGTTTTGAGTTTATTATCCGTTGTTAGTCCTATGGGAAAATATAAGTGATAGCACGTTTTTACCGGAGAGAAGAAACGAACTGTCAAGGCTACGCAACTACCGACAGTTTGGCACTCACGAACGGCGACGTCCCCCGTTTGCCCCACAGCGTGGTGGTCACAGGAACGGGCTCTTGCATATGAACTGATTTATAGTGATGGCAGACTTGCGCTGCATCTGCCACACCTTGCCCTCCCCCCAGCCACTTAAGTAATATGTCAAGACGGAGGCGGGATCAAACGCAGTGGCCAACTAGGCTAAGCAGTCCGTCTGCGCGGGGCATACACACACACCGGGTCTGCGTACGATGATCAGCTTTTCACGGAAACAAGAAGTGGTCGGCTTGGACCCCATCTGTGTGGAAGCACCATTAGGACCCCATTAAGCAGGAGACATTGCAAAGTGAATCTCCGTCCTGAGAGAAGAACCGAGGCGCACCGCGATAGATTGAAACCGCCTTAGGGAGAACAGATTTATTAGTCAATCTGAGTGACTTCTCTGGCAGCCTACAAGGTTGTAGTCTGCCTGTAGAACGCATAAACTAAACATGGTAATGTAACAGACACTTGATGCAGCCAGCCTTCACCAATAAATAGTAAGAAATTCGTGAACTTAGGTTATGAAAATGTGAAAAGAATACAACACAACTCCTCGGGTTGTGGCACAGTCGGCAGACCACTGAACGCGATTTCGGTGCGGTCAGGACGCGTTTGATACGCTAATACGGGGGGAGTCATGAGTAACTTCCCCATCTTAACTTTAATGCATCTTCTACCACTATTTGCTTTACAACTTATGTTTCAGAGTTTGAAAATCTTTCCCTTGAAAATCGTTACAAAATATTTAAGGACCCTACAACGCATAAAAAGTATTTCATTCCTCTGTTATTCTAACGCAAAAGGTATATATGCGTTTTTTGCATGTCATGGGAGATAAGGCCCATGCTCGCCTGAAGCGTCCAATAAATAATCAAAATACTGGGCTATGAATCACAGAGGGTCCGAGTATCATTCAGTAGCATAAATTACACTTCGGGCAGTTCACGGTTGAGTTCGATGTTGCATTCGAAAGGATACAGGACATTAATCGTTCCAGGACGATGATGACGATGACAGCTAGACCATCGCGAACGATGATTTCCACCGTTTGCCCCTCGGTTTGCCAGCCGCGGTGGCGGTTACTTGGGTGTGAGTTAGTTTATAGTGGTAGTAGACCGTAGGAACTCATAGTGGCCGGATCGGACGCTGACAGAACCAAATAGCCGTCTACGCGTGCCACAAACGCGTAGACTTTTGTCCAGACTTCTGTCCACTACCCGGGCCGGTCAGTTGTCTGGTGCTGGGATTGGGCGCAATAAATGATAGAGTTGAAAAGCCCATCTGCAGGCGCCAGACACGTCCTGACTGCCTGCACGACACAGCAGCATTTCACGCGAAGGGGATGGGTGGCTCAGATCGCACGTGCGTGGGAGTGCCGCAGAGGGGGGGGGGAGACACTGAGTCTGACTTACTCCAGTCAGTCAGTCAACATAAACGCTCACAGGGCCGACTGCGATGTCTGAGTTGTATCGTCAGTTGACAAACTTAAAAAACACGACGTTTACTGTGTCGTAATAGACTCAAGGAGGTCGGATTTATTTTGGTGTGCAAAGTGTTAAAGTAACGTAGGGATAGACTCACCAGAATTGACTCCACTCTCTCTTCCCTCTCCTAGGCACCGGTCTACTCTCCGAGTCATCTGATGCGGGAAGCGGGTTGGTCAGGGCCTGAACAGGCGTTTGAGTGCAAAAATGATTGCACATTATGACTCCATTATGTGGTCCTGGGAAGTGTTTGTGCGGGTTAGAACGTTGGTGAGGGTACATGGAAAAGTCAAGTTTCAACTGCTAAAATAACTAAGAAGAGTGAAAACTATTCTGAAGTGGTTACAGGCTGTCCAAAGTGGAGAAGTAGGACCAGGTTTACCCGTCAAGTAGAACCTCCAATTCACGGCGCCTAGAGATTTAAGATAGTAGAGGAAAAGAGCGGGCGTGGTCGCGAGGCAGGTGAATTCAGCGTCGGTCTAACGCTCTCTTGAGTGTCATTGTCAAGCCAGAGCCAGGCGGACAAGCGCAGAAATTACCTGTCAGCTAAATGCAAATGCACCTGTTAGTAGCTGTCTTCACCAATAGGTGGGGATGGGTAGTTGCAAAAAATACAAAATTGACTAGGCATCGAGAACTCAAAACACAAATTTAGCGCAAACTTGTTAGACTATTTTCAATCGACGCTACTGGGCTCCGATCAGTATACCAATTTCATAGGTCTATGAGAGGCAGTGTTCTTTCCCGACTTGAGGTCTGGCAAACCAGTTACCTTTCCTTTTTTACATCAAGTCAGCTTTTTAAATTCTCGTCCTTTACAACACTCTCGTGCGTCCACCCACTCAACGCACTCCTCTGCTGAGATCATCAAGACAATCTTGAATGCAGTTAATTTGCATGAGCAGTAATCGCCAACGGCGCTCAGACCACAGCTTAGTTTTGAGTCATATTTAAACAGGACATACAACTTCAGCCTTCAAATGCGGAAATGGGGCATTTCCGGGGTTGGATTGGAAAAAAAGAAGTAGTATCACTGGGACGCTCGGTTTCAGAATTGAAATGACGTTGAAAAATGACAAGAAGAATCGGATGATATTGTCGATATTTCCCAACCGAGCAACCAAAACAAATGGGTTGAAATTGTTTGCAGAAGTTAACTGAGGCCTGCTCGTGCGCATGGAACGCGAACTTCCTAAGTTGTATGTTTATAGCACTTGTCAGCCTAAATGAGTAACACGCGAAACTTATTGCTGCGATGCGTAACAGAATCCATACCTCAGAACTCCATCCACCTTCTATGACTAAGTGATAGGAGACGGTCATCAATGCCCTTCCCGGGAACTATCTTCCTACAAAATGCCTTTTTCAATACATTAAAACAGGCACGTAAAGCAAATACGATTTTGACAGTCTGTACATGTAAGCACGCCACGTTCTCTCTTCCAAACGGCCTCTATCATCATCATTCCTGTATTGCAGGTGACTTTCTGCCATAGTTTGGGGGTACACATATCCGTTTCCTACCGGGGAAGTTAGTCGATACTGCGGAACCAGAGGGAGGGACACTGTTGGTGATAGTATAACTTGTGGATCAACAAGGTAGAACTTACATCAGACCCGGGCACGATCAGCATCAATCTCGTTTTCCTGAATACAAGGCCATTTATCGGGCCAAAAGTAGTAAAAGAGGTTAGGAGAAGGACGTCTAACCCTTCAGAACCAGAAAATTCCGGACGCTGGGTTTAACTTTCGGGTTTTACAACACTGGAAATATTTACCTAGTCACAAACTCTTATCCATTTACGAGCATTTGTTGGGTGTAATACTGGACGGAATAGTTATATTTGGAGAGCTAATTGGCCCTCTGCCAAATACATTAGGTTTAGAAAGTAAATGATAGGAAACGTGATGAGTGCGTACTAACTTTTCAAGATAAAAAATAATTTGTTTCCTCATAATGGTTCCATGGGGACTTAAAACGGCTAAAACAATGAAAAGGAAAATTCCACTAAGTGCTAAGTTTCTATTTGATGCAATTTTTAGGAACCCTTGGAGGTGAAGTTCGAGGGCATGCACCCGAAGATCACTGATGCCGAATTCAATTTTCTTAAGGTATGAAAGTAACTTTTATATAATTCAGGACACAATGTCAATCAACACTTTTTGGAACTTAAAATGAGTGTACATTACTTTAATTTTTGGAGTTTCTTAAAATGCTATTTTTAAAAGTTTTTTGGATTACGGAACAAAGAGCCGTAACTTGTTGCCGCAAACCGGCCATTGTTCCTTACTTTCGTATTTAAGTTATATAAATGGAATCGCGATCGTCGGCCCTTCGACTAAAAATACACTGCTTTCTAATCCTTGCCAAATGTTCTACCCAAAACCTACCTACTTACTTCAGGGAACTGATCCAAGGCCATCAGGATCGGTGTATTAAACCCCAACAATAGTCACTTTGACCTTTATTTCATCCTTTTTCCAGGCATGTATAATGATGGATCCTTCTCAGAGAAGCAAGTGCTCAGAACTACTGCAACACGCATACTTTCGGAAACTTCGTGATAAATTGAAATCGGAAAATCCAGATCCCACCAATGTCACCGTAAATTTAGAAGGTTGCGTCTCTGAGACAGAGGAGAAGGAAACTGAAGGAGAAGAGGAGGGGGAGGAACACGGAGGGTCAGAAGACGATGAAGAGGTTCCCATGGTGGCGACGACGGAAAAGCAAGTCTCACGGCAGGAGGCATCCCCTAATCACTTTGATGAGGCTCTCAACATCGCGAAACTCTCTATAGAGAAGAATCAGCAAACCCAACCGTCCCAGACGCAGCTAACGCAAGCTGTACAAGAGCCACCACGTCGACGGCCTTCCGTTGAGACAACTACAACAGAGAGCATACCAAGACACGTTTTTACTCGTGCCAACCAGAAGAACCTTGCACCCATGGGGCTGTCGTGGACAAACTCGATAGCGACGGCGGTCACGCATAAGTCAGTGTATAAAACCAAAGGCACCGTAAGTCGATGTCTGTTAAATCCATTACGTAGTACATAGTCGACAGCATGCAATTTATCTAATAGGTGAGAGAGAGTGAGAGAGAGAGAGCACCTTTAAGTAATCCATCAGTGTCCACCTCCATGGAGACAGAAGGATTCCGGTGAGCTACCAATTTACAGGATCTAGCTATTTAAATGCCAAATCAAGATTTGTTGTATTTGTTTGACTGTTGTAATTCTGGACGATTTTAAACGAATAATCAGACCATTTTTGAAAAAATAAGGATTCAGATAAGCAAGCTTTCATCTTTTAAATCGCGTATTTTATCACTATACGTGCAAGCGAAATTCTGTTATCTACCAATCGCAACCAACATTTGCACATGATGACAAAGCTTGCGCAATTTCCACGCGTTCGCAGAAATGCTCCGGAAATCGATGACAGTACATTAACAAAACCATCTGATTAAGAAACAGACAACCCTAGATATAGAGGAAACCCAAAAAGACATAAAAAATAGGTAATATGTGATTATGTAGCCCCACCTGATGGACACAATACTGTTGGGGCTGGGGTTAGGGGGCAGAGTTGGGTGCTATGGCTAGGGGTTAGGGTTAGGGGTTAAGGCAACTATTTCTAAACCTACTACCACCGGTCTTGTATTACAGTTGGCTGGGTTTTGGTTACTTCAGGTGGGGCTACATAACCAAATCTGACCAAAATAATATTGAGTTTTTCAGAAATCGTGCTTTTGTTGATTAATCACACGCATCAGTTAACCAGTTTCCCTGATTTAGGTGTTTCAAGCTCCAGGCCTCCAAAGCACGAGCGCAAAGCCGAACCAAACAGACGCTGCCGCATGTCAACCGTCCACAAGCCAGGTCATCCCTCCAGACAGTTCAGTCCCCCCACCCATCACGGGTTACCGTGCCGTGGTGACGAGTCGCCCCGAGAGGCACTTCTACCCGCTGGCGCACCAGTCAGTGGGACAGGCACATATCTACCAAGGGAAAGTCAGCATGGGCAGCGGAAGCGGAGCAGGAGTGGGAGGAGGAAAATCGCCCAATCCTTTTGTGCCTACAGCGGACCGATTCCACTTGGCCGGCACATCACCAACCCCGAGAACTCCCCTGCCTTAGAGCGCACATGACAATTGATGTTCTACGACGAGTTCAGCCACAATCACCACGTCGACGAACATCTATATCTGCCAGTACTTGCGTATACTCCAGCATGTAGCATGACTGCAGCACCATAGGCCTTCAGAACATTTGTGAGTGTTAGATGATGCTGCGAAGGGCAGTTCTGGTGTCAGATCTCAGTGTTTACTAACGACCGCTACTTCCTCTACTAGACCTTTGAGGGTTGGAGTAGAGCGGATCTATTGTGTCTCCCCCCCCCCCAAAGGATGGTGACGTTCTGCGAATTTGCCTATCTTTAACGCATATGATAGCTAACCCGACCAATGTTTGTGGTCGGTCTGTTTTTGATTACCGCAGTTTGCTCCAGTTTACTAGCGTTATTTTCGATAAATGAGCAGAAACCAGGATGAGTTCTTGCGGACAAGCGAGCACCAAAAACCACCTCCTTGTTTCTTTAGTTCGTACAAGCTAGGTGTAAGATACGTGTAACTCGTCCTCGCAGGCGGGGGACAGGACGGATTAACGCCTGTTTTGAAAAGGTCCAATCACTTGCAAGTGGTACCGCCGGCGCCTCAGAGCCCCACGGTCGGGAACCGGACAACGATCTGCAGCTTGACGTTCGTTTTTCCTTTCCCAGGTGACTATTCCTGTGGAGGCTGCAGTCTCCATAAACAGTTGGGCTTGAGAATATAACTACTTAGATGAATTTTCCTGCACAGCGATAGATCGCCGGAAGTGATGGTAGAGAGCCAAAGTCCTTCAAGATCTCAGAGTTTACCTCTAGATTTTTACTACGCTAGCATTAACATGTAGTCAGCCAAACTGTACAGTAGAGCAGATTTCCAAGTTAAATGGTTTGCAGATAGCCGGTTATTTGTGGACGGGCTTTTTGAATGAGTATGGGGACAAATGCGGGACCACGCGGCATCGTCACCTCAAAAAGCCTGCCCACATAATACTGTCCAACACGTGCCGGACGCTCTTGCATTCTTGTCAGTGTTATATGTTCAAGCCTCACGACCTTTCTCAGTAGACCCAAGTCAGTCGTCGGTTGGGATTATTCTCCGTGCCATGTAGTCATGCCTACTGCTGCAAGCAGTGGTCATGCCTTTCTATGCGCCAACTCTCTCAACCGGTACGTATAAACACGAGACGACGGATCACCTCCAATCGTCCTCAAATTCCGGAGAACGCTGTTGTGCGTCAAGAGCATCCCGATGACCATCTACCGTCTTCAAGCACCACTGAAATTGGATGTTACAAAATACTGGAGGCACCCACCAGGCGCCAAGTAATGAGAGCCAATGCCCCGTCATGAATCGTTTGGAGTTGCTAATTGGATTTGGTGCAGTTGCATGCAAAGCCACTGTGTCGGAGAAACCGAGAGATTACTCGAGGCCAAATCTCATCTTCGGTCAATTCTGTTTGCAAAGATCGCTGGAACGTTGCAAACAGAAAGGAGAGTGAGGTTGACCAAACTCTTCGCCTAATACAATCAAATACGCTACGCATTGACGGTCGTGGCTTGGGATGCTGCCAGCTGCCAGGATAACCCAGTTCTCCCCAAGACAGAGGACCGGCCCGCAAGGCTCCTCCCTAATGTAGTTTTTATGGCGCCGGCTAAGGCTTGGTTCGTGTGGAGTTGGGGACAAGATCGCATATGACAAGCCTCAGCAGGCTGCTGGTAGGTGTCAGCTACTGCGCCCAATCCTGCCGGCAGTAATCGTGGCCATATCCTGCACTGGAGCACAACGAGTACTGGCATATACGGTGAGATAGAAGACATGCAAGTCAGTTTCATTGCAACAGACTAGTGCGTGAACCACCTTTATGCCCACCTCATGTGGTGGCAGCGAACTTCATCGTTGCCGACGACCCAAATATCAGACATGAGTATAATTCTACTCCAGGCTTACAAAAATTTGTGATGAAATCAAAAGCCTCGTGCTTAAAAAATCAGGATACTCATAGACCAAAATCGCATTAGGGAAGCTTGATAACTTAATGAAGGGTCGATTTCCTCGCAGGAAAAAATCGAAGAAACACGTGTCTGCAATTTCAGCTAGGACATATCTTAAGACTATGGCTAAAGTTTTTGTGGCTTAAGATGGCAATAATTCCAATGCAATGAACCGTCATTGGTTATCCCCGATGGGGGTGACACGTCAGAGTGTACTGAAAGGAAAGTGTTTAGTCCACGTAGCCCCACTAATGGAAAACCGTGAGCACCATTATCTTCAGTATTTTGCAACCTCTTTAGTAGGACAGCAATAGAATACACTCCAATGGCTCGTGTCGCAAGAACACCAGGATTTTTTCTGCACCGTCTGACTAATGCTCTTAAAGAAAAACAAGATAGAACTGAGCGCCCAACTGTGGAAAGCTTAGCAGTTTCGGTTAGATCCAAACCCATGGCACCAGGGATACCGGATCTTGATATTACAGGATCAATAATGTGTGGATTTCGTTAATAACTTTGCATAGCAGTTAGGTAGGTCTGTCCAGGCATTCCCACACGAACTTCGCACTCATCAGCGACCGTATTACATAAGAAGGAAGACGATTTTGATAGAGACAAAAGTGTGTGGAAAACAGGCTTGTTCGTAGTGCTTTACCGTGACAAAAGAGTCTGGAGGCATTATACCTAGCTCTCGAGTCTGTGATGGAATCCCCAATAGTACCTCAGGAGGTCATTCTTTTGGTTAGTCAGTCATCCAGTTGTGCACATTTGGATGTTTGGATTTTCACGCAGTGACTATCCTCGGTTCATATGCTGGACGTGCACGCTTTCCCATTTGCTGGTTCCTGAAGTGGCGTTTGCGTATTAGGTACTTCAAACCGCGCTAATATGTTGTCTTCGTGACCTGAATACCAGTCCATTAAGTTTATTCTGGTGATTAACGAGCCCGAACAGCGCAAGCTTATGGTCTTCTGTCGGCCGTCAGGGCTCACGCTCCTTCAACATGCCTACATTGCCAACCTGCCTTCGAGGTCTGAATTGCCCTTGATAAACTCGCGTCCATAGCCGCAACGTCAAGACGACCACACTACACCACAGAGCTAATATCTTTACAATAAGTCACCCACGCGCCCTCACTGCGGCTGCATTTCCCTGTCCCAGCGTGTCCTGCTTAGACACTCACGACCCCCATTTCAGCTGGGAAGTCGATAGAACGTCCGAGAACCTCTCGTCCTCTCTGCAACTACCACACTCGGCGGACGAAACCCCTTGTAACAATAGGCATACCATGCGGGCTAATTGCCTGAGTTCTTTGTCTGCGGCGCGAGATCAAGTGGATGGAACGTACGGCGTAATAGCCATGTAACCCGAGTCCACGCATGCTGCTCCCTTCTTCCACTTACACAGCAATTCGACTGTTGATTTCGACTATGCCCACCGTGTGCTCCACGGCAGGGTGAGAGGACGAACGCTGACTTGCGAGTGGATTAGTTTAAATTGATAGCAGACTTGCGCAGCATCGACCGCACTCTCCCTCCCCACCCACCAGGATCTGGTATCATGGCCAAGGCAAGACGACCAAAGTCGGAAAAGGGCATAGGTGCATGGCACGGCGAAAACCCGTACCTAGGTATACCACCACACCCCTGGTTCAGAACGCACACTGACCAGGACTTTTAACAAAGTGGGGGCGGCATGGATCCCAATTGGTGCGACGTGAGTCGGCAAATGGGCCAGCCGCCACACGCCAAGCCCCAAATGTCGATGGATACTGTGGGTGCGCATTCCCAACAACGCCTGCTGAACTCCGATCTAGTCCCCTGTGTTGTTCCAGCGCATCTACCGCGCGGCTCGTTTTCGGGGGGCCAAGCCTGCTCACTGATGTTACGTTACGGTATCACTTGAATCTGCCTGGTTATATGTCCACACATAAGAGCACTTGCTAGAACGCCACCCAATATCCATAAAACAAGTATGTTAGGTAGCTTTCCGACATCGTTAGTGACGGTTAGGGCTGTTTTCCTTCGGCATGCTTTAAATAAAGGCATCATATCACGTTAGTAATTGTGTCATATTTCGTCTAGTGTTGGGCTTGGCCCGATCCAACTTGGATTACGTATTCACTTTCCCCGTCATAAAACGCCGTACACCCTTTAAAACTATCATGACGAGTCAACAATAATGGCTTTGAAGGATATTAACTAACCGATAGCCCTTTCCCTTTGAAATGAGGGTCAAACTATAAAGACGTCCTCTCTGTGTCGTCCTTATCGCCATCACGTTCATGCGAGGTCTGGCAACCGCTTCTCTTTGTTGCCAGGTTTGTGTGAAGTTAGGGACGAGGCCTTGTGTGACATGCGCGGATGGAATGCTTGGCCTTTACAACTACCGAGCCCACACTCACACCCAATTTCCCGAATTTTCTCTCATCAGTAAACATATGGTGGGTGTGGGACGAGGAGAGGGAGCGAGTGAGATAGGTGTCCCGCAAGAACCTGCAATCGTAAAAAATTTCATGTGCAATTTACAGCTGGCCAATCTCCATGAAACGGGGTGCTTGTCGCCTTAGACGGACAAACTTACTATTGGGCCTGAATAAAGCTGTCCCGGTCGAAGGTTCGTGACTTCTTCTCCAAATCAGGTCTGTGTAGATACAAGGACCAAAATGTAGTTACTTTAATTTGTAGCCTGACCTTGAAAAAAATGTTCGGGAGAGAGTGGGGTAGACGGTGTGCTAGTCCAGTTTACTATAGACCGCTTCATGTGCAAAATACCGTTACATTTTCTAGCGTGTTTTGGTCCTTGTCACGTGTGCCTGAAGAACTATCGAGACCTGAGCGAACAGCAGATGAGTCCCTCGTCAACATTGTTTGATGCTAATGCCCCTTTTGACTAGTGTCAGAGCCAATAAGTGTGCTCCTGATAGAGCTCCTACCTAGGATGGCTTTAACTGAGTTTTCAAAGATTTACATCTGCCGTAGCTAACAACGAGGTGGATTCTATATGCATCCTCACTATTCCTTTGACTGGACAAGAG